CCTTTTTCCTTTCCTTTTTCCTTTCCTTTTTCCTTTCCTTTTTCCTTTCCTTTTTCCTTTCCTTTTTCCTTTCCTTTTTCCTTTCCTTTTTCCTTTCCTTCTCTTCTCCCCTCCCCTTCCCTCCCCTCTCCTTCCCTCTCCTTCCCTCTCCTCCCCTCTCCTCCCCTCTCCAAACCTCTCTTCTCCGAACCTCTCCAAACCTCTCCTCTCTGAACCTCTCCTCTCCTCTTTTTTTAATGCCATTTTAAACACTCCTCTGGATCCATAAAACCCCACCCCACCCCCAACATTTTATATTCGATGTTGTGGACTGAAGATTAAAAAAATAGAGAGTTCTAAAACTATGGGACATGACTTGACCCTAGACTGAGTCTAGGATTCAGATTGCACTGTTTCTTTTTCCTAAAGCCAGCTTGTGTGTCAGGTTGCTTTTGACTTTCTTTGAAGCTATAGACAATTGTTTTGCGCTTTATAATAATATAAAATTAATCCAACAAGATAAGATATCAGAACAAAAAGGTAAAATTATCAAGTTACATTTTATATTGTTCAGTAATGTTGCAATCACTAAAAGTAACATTTGCATATTGATATTTATTTTGAATCTCTAAAATATGTTGGCTTTATCTAGCAAACATTGTCCCCCCAAGAAAAACATATTTTCCAATTTAATCTTCAAATATATCTCAGCAAAACAACATAAAACCTGCTTCAGCTTCATGGAGTGCTTGGTTTCCAGATTTTGTCAGATTGGCAACAACATGACATGAAAGATACTTAGCTTTTTAATGAGATGGCAAACTTCTGATGTAGTTTTACTACAAAGTAATAGAAGAATTCAGGTCACAATATTTAATTAGAATCCAATCTACATTTTTGAACAGCATATCAGTATTATTTTGGAAATCCAAATGAAACAGTTCTTTGTCAAGTACACACTTCTAAGATGAGAGGTGTTTTAACCATACATGAAGACCATAAATGTGAAACATTTGGTTTTCTGTATTATAATGTGTTTGAAATATTATTGCGTAGAAAACTGCATTTTTCAAAGAGACAGATGCATTATTCAGATAGCTTTGATTATAAGATACATTAGAAAAGAGGTTCTTTTGTAAAGGCTGCCTATCCCATGGTTTTTAACAGAGTGGCTTTAATGATTTGAGAAATTATGAAAATATATTAATATTGATTTAATAATTAAACTCTGTAATACTATTAATTATTGTGGTGCTTTCTTGTGCTGGTTCCATTCTACTGTATTGCAGTGATTTTCTTTTTCTTCTTCTCAAATATATTATGCACGTACATTAACTTGTATTCATTATCAAAGATTTAAAGACATAGTTTAAGCATAAAATAAAAGTCCCTATCAACAGTGTGTTTCCAAGTTCAGGTATGATGATTAAATCTCTTAAATGATTAGAATTCTACACAGTGGAATTGAAATTTAAAGCTCTACAAAGGTATAACGAGGAAGAGAGAACTGAAAGTCTCTTCATTTCTGAAAGAAATTGTAACAAAGAATAATTTATCTAGACATGTTTGCTTGTTTTAGCTAAAATTGATAAAGTTTAGATATGAACCCATCATAATGTGCAGCAATTGCAAAGCCATGAGTTAAAACAGATTGATTGTATATAATCTGCTTGTAATCTATTGCCAGACTTGTGCATCTTTCTACTATCTTCGTTGTATCTATTTTTTCAGATAATTAATTTCACTGTCTTTTCCTTTTTTTTTTTTTTTCTTTTCTTTTCTTTTCTTTTCTCAGAGCCTGGCCCTGCAAGGTGCTTGTGCATGTCCCCAGCTTCTTTTGGAAAGCCTTTCCAGGGATGCTACTGTGCACCTCACAGGACAGGATGCAATCCCTTTAATTTGCTATTTTAATTTTCTGCGAATTATAGAGTTTAATACCCTTATTTGGTGATTAACAATATCACTTTTACTGCTAACTATTTGTTTTCTCTTATATTTATTATTTGCAATTTTGCTGAGTAAAACCCTTTGCTTAATGTATTTTTTCTAGTTAATTACTGTGATTTAATGCTTTTTTAATTTTCTTTCAAAATGCAAAATATTGACACAGTCTTTATATGAACCTAATACTAAATGGTACCAAATGTCTGTAATTCTATTGATGTTAATAGAAGATTAAGCACTTTGATGTTTACAGGTGGCACTTGGAACCTTTCAGAGTCAATCTGTATACAACTTCATTAATATTAACAATAGTTAAGAATGTGAATATTTAATGTTGTTTTATCTTTTAATATTGTTGTTGAACATAATGTAGTCATACTGTAAAAACTTTCAATCACTATTTTCTTTATAACCTTTCTTGTTTTTCTCTTGCAGCAGATTTGCCGGATAGACTTTGTGCTGGCTGCATTTTAAATCTGTTCTTTTTTTTTTCTGTCAATTACCACAGGTTTAGTCCCTATGAGTGGTATAATCCACATCCTTGCAACCCTGATTCAGACGTGGTGGAAAACAATTTTACCTTGCTAAATAGTTTCTGGTTTGGAGTTGGAGCTCTCATGCAGCAAGGTATACGACTCAGTCTGCTCTTTCTCTTGGGCGCCATGTCCCACTTTTTGCTGGGGGTAACAGCTCTCTGCTGCAAGTCATTTGCATGGGTGCCTCTGTGCATGTAGCCACAAATCAGCTTTTTTATATTGATGTATCCAGGCATTTCCAAACACCATCTTAGGAATTAGTCTGAAGACAGATATAAATTTTAAAACTTAAAAGTACATCATAACTCTTAGTTTATTTCCTAAACAGCAAAGACTTACTGCATAAGAAAATGAGCTAATCTGTCCATTACCTAACAAACCTTCATTTAAACAATGTAAAAAAGAGTACATCTTTGTCAGGCAAGAGTATAATGTAAAAATCTATCATTTGTTTAATTTTGGTCTAGAAACCTTTCAATAATAGACACATTTTATCTAGTAGCTAGTACCTGTAAAATAAAATGGTAAATATAAGAGATTTAATTCCTTTCACTACAAGTTATGTTTTTAAAATCAGAATAACCATTGTTAAAGATTTAAATAAACAGTCTATATTATACAATGCATGCACTGAGAAACCGATGTCATTACTGACAATAAAATTGGTAGCTAAGTAGTCATATTGCTCAGAGTAAAACCAACGATCAGTTTTAACTGGCACTGTCCTAGTAAAATCCTTAAGTCAGGACATATTCTTCAAAATCTGTAATTTTCCTTACCATATTCCTTTTATTTTGAAAGTATACCTAATATATAGATCCATAAAAGTATATCACCATTTTATTACCCTTTTCCATAAGGATTTGGACACAGTCACATAATTTCAGGCACACTTGAATAGCACAGATTCAGCTTTTTGCTCTGACATTTCACTGGGCAGTACAGTATAAGGATTGCTAGTCCTGTTGAAGAACCACTAAAAGGAATGACTTTCTGGAAAAAAATAACCATTGCATATCTTGAAAAATTCATATAAAAGATTGGTATTGGTATAATTGCTTTAATGGATATACCTGCGCAATCATTTTAAAAACTTCTCATTATAAGTACACCGACTATAAATAAATACTGTTTTTAACTCATCAAATGAATTCATGGAGCTTTCCTGTAAGTGCAGTAAATATTCTTTCATGTATCAGGTTGCTAGTCTTGAAAAGTCTCTAAGACCTCAGCAAAAAGTGTACTATGCTCAGAAAAACATGAATTAATGGGTAAAAGAAATCAAGATTCCGGATCATAAATAAAAATACAGCTGTAGTTGGCTAAGTATTTAGTATCAACTAGGTTGTCAACATACCTTTCAAGAAATTATATAGTTGAAGCATCATGCCCAAATACGTGTTTGTAAGGTAATAATTGCTTTCAAAGAAGCTATCAAAAAAAGGAATACTGAATGAAAGTAGATATTTTGAATTTCATTCACAGTTCTGGGGATTGCCAGAATCACTATCAATGCTGAGTTTTATTCCTTATGCTGTTGTATGCTTCTTCTTCTTTCTGGAGAAGGGAAAGCAATTAGGTTTTTGCATCATCATTTAGCAAGAAAAAGGTATTTTAGTCCCTTGCATCTGAACATTTGTTGACAATCAAAATAAGAACAAAACCTGCAACCTTCATTTTAAAAGATGTCTTTGAAGGATAATAGTTTTCCATGAAGGAAAACTAGTCTCTGTCCTTGCCTTATATTATTTTGCTCTTACTCAGTTCATCCTTTAATAAACTTTGAAGGCACCGTTCTAAGGATGACTTATCAGTCTTGATTTTGACAACTGCTTGAAAAAAGAAAATTCCCAAAACCCTGAAGTCATCTAAAAGTACACTTTTAGACAAGCATGAAAGTTCTCACCTAACAACTATAACTTTCCATTAGAAACAGTATAAAAGTGCTTGGGCAAAATTCACATTAAGTGCTGCTTCTTTACAAAACATTTGCTTAGTGATGGAGGGTACATGATAGAGGGAACTCATACATGTCTTGCTGGCACCCCTCACTCCCAGGAAACTGTGGGATATAGTGCTGGACATGACGTTACCTTGGGTACATGACAGTCAGCCCCTGACCAGGCTCTGTTTCACGGGCCCAGGTGGCACTCGGTTTCAGTCCTTGGTAAGGTACAAACTTGTGGTAACTGGGGCAACTGCGGCGAATGTTTCCACTCTTCTTTTCTTCCCAGTCCTATCTGATTTTACTGGTGTTGGTTTTTAAATGAAACAAGAGCAATTGAAAAGAGTTCATGATGGTGATCTTACTGGGAAATCTCTTAGTGTTATGGTGTCTAAGTGTCTGACTAACAGGGCCTAGGAGCAACTACATCAGAAAGGTACTTTTCTACTTTTTTCCTTGCAGAATTCTAGGCAGAATCTGGCGCTGGAGTTGGCTGTCATGTCCAAGTCTGTCAGCCTTTTTTTGTTTGAAACAGCAAGGGTAAGATGAACTGCAGGGTAAGATGGGCTGTTTTTGAATACAGTAGTCCAGTTATGATACCACTTCTTTTTTTCCTTTTCTTTGGTTTCCTTCCTCTCTCCCTCTCTCCTTCCTTCCCTCCCTCCCCCAATCCTTCTGTTCTTTTTTTTGCATTGACTTTGGAAGTTTGACATAATCTTTAAACTATCTGAAGATGTGTTACCTTGCTGGACCAGTTCCTTAACTAATTCAATATAAACGCTAAAATTTAACAGGAATAAAATAGTCCATCTTGCCTTCATTCCATTTTACCCAGGAGATTAAAGAGCAAGAGTAGTAACCAATTAACCAAAAGGGATATAGCAGATATGGTAAAACTGGAACAAGTTTTCAGATACAAAAAGATCTTACATGAAGTTTATAGAATGAAGCTGGAAATTGTTTATTTGACATCCTTAGAAATTTCATTCCATTTAGTTATAACATTTTGGAAAAAATCCATCCATTCTCATTTATAATAAATATTTGTGATTGTATATTAGATTGAATTTCATTTTTTTCCTATTTTTATTAATTTGGCACAAGAGTAGTTTATGTACTTCAATTCGTCTCATTAGACTCTAAATTAGCATTAAAATTATGCAAATTAATATACAGTGTTTATCTCCTCCTCCATTCTTTAGTGCCATGAGCAGGCAACTCCAGCAATGCATTATAATCTATATTTAGTTTATGCATAGCAGTCTAATGTTTTTATTGCTAGTTTATCGAATTGAAGTGTGTGGCATAGCCACCCATATTTATATGAAATTATGGGGCTAACCATAGAGATGGGAGATGTCTATTTTTTTTTAATTTAAACAATCTTTTACAGCAATGCAGAAGACAAAAGTCAAAAACATATCTATAATACATTTCCGATTTTTTATTTCAGATATGAAATACTTTATTTCATATCTGGTCCCTTATTTAATAGCTTATTTTTGTTTCTGCAAGTGAGTTTTATACAAAATACTTAAATAATTTTTTTTAGTGCTGTCAAGATAAAGAACTGTATAAGTGCTTCAATATTAGTACTAGAGGTTCAGTCCATCCAGGATTTTTTCTGAAAAACAAGTTCAAGGAATGGTTTTTTTTTCACAATGATATATATATATGTTTATAAATTTTAAAACAGCACTGATCGCTGAATCTCCCATTACTATCTTTTGATTCCCACATAGCTCCAAAAAGATGTGTTTATAAATTTAACCAGTTATTTCTTATTTCAGTCGTGTTCATTTGAACAAGCAGTACATGTAAACCTGTAGCTGAAAGATTTTTTTGCACAGTGATTCCATCTCCCCACTGTGACAAAAAGTGCTGAATACTTATTAATTGTTTTCTGTGCATCAGTTTCACCTTTCTCCCCTGGTTTTCGTTAGGTTCTGAGCTCATGCCTAAAGCCCTCTCCACCAGGATAGTGGGAGGCATTTGGTGGTTTTTCACACTTATCATCATTTCCTCGTACACTGCTAACCTAGCCGCCTTTCTGACAGTGGAACGTATGGAATCCCCTATTGATTCTGCTGATGATCTGGCCAAGCAGACAAAGATTGAGTATGGGGCAGTCGAAGATGGAGCAACCATGACTTTCTTCAAGGTAAGCTTTATATTCTGAGAAGATGTTATATCCTGAGTGTGGGGTAAAGTTTTTGCACCTTGCTGAGGGGCAAGAGGTTTGATTCCTACTGCTGTTGAAAGCAACTGAAAAGCTATTCTTTTTGAGGATTTGCAAGACAGCAAAGGAATCAAATGCAAAATCTCTCATAGAAAATAAAAGGCAGTTTCTTTGATGAGTTCTTTTGAAAGAATTGAATTTATAGCAGTGAAGTACATGAATAAAGCTGAACACTTTGCTCAGATCTCCTATAACTGTGTACAAGATAAGTTTTGATGGATCAAAACTTGTAGTTTTAGTTCAGCAACATTATACGTAGTTGTAGTCTTTTCTCAAGCAACATTAAGGATATTAGTGGCTGGACTGAGAAAAACCTTTTGGACACTGCAATTTTGAGAAACTTTTGAATGAAATTTGGGTTTCATATAAAAAGCTCAGATTATTCCAGTTTTTCTGTTCCTTTTAACCTGTTACCAAGACAATTCAATTTGAAGTATAGTGAGATATGCTATTGAATTAGAGAGAAATCTTTCTTTTCTTCTAGCTTCATCAAGCATGTAAGTGGACTTAAATTAGTGAGAGTTATGCATGAAGTGAGAGAAGATGGTTTGTTCTCTAACTCTGGTTTTAAGAGTTATTATGCTATCACCTAAAGTTCTGACTCTATGTTGACTGGCATTTGAAATTAGGCAAACCGAGGACCAAGGTAACTTGTAAACTGGTGCAGAAATTGCAGACTGTGTGCTCATTTTCCCTCATCAAATTCGCAGAGTACAAAGTTTGTTTAGATATCAAGGCTAAATAGTCACTATTTAATCTTATGACCTCAGAGCCAATCAAAGTGTACGCATAGTTTTAATTTAAAAATAACAATGATATTTTAGGCTTTTCAGCTTCTGCTTGGAAACAAAAATCAATTCAACTCCGGTAACTCAGAATACTTCAAGCTGCTTAACTTAAAGCATGAAATGGAAAAGTTCTGAGTATTTTCTTCAGAATACTTGTTGGAAAAGGAGCTGATGAAGCTGATAGAAGTAACTAATCAGTTAGAGGTCTCTTCATATCAGGAAATATGTGAAGCAGTTAAAAGTAACATCATTGCAAGTTTAAAGACTGAGGTTTTTAAGAGTCAAAATGATTTATGTCTCAAGACATAAAGAGATGACACAAGGTATTTATTGAATTACAAGAAAACACTACAGGGCTTTCACTTAATTTTAGTCTGGCAGAAAACATCGATTTTATTCTATTTCAGATTCAAATTGTGGGCTCTAAAATATAAGAAATCAAGTTTAGATTAGCAGTGATTTTCTTTCTACGCTCTTCCTAATTTTTAGTTTTCCTTGTTTAATGAGAACATCCTTAATTTTCTATGTTATTCACTCCTTTTACTTTGCTTTGTATGCCCATAATCCGTGGGTTTTCTAAATGCACAGAGACTATTCCTCTTTCTGTGGATGTTTTTGTCCTCTGCATATTACTATAGTAGTCCCTTTTCTGAACAATTATTCCTTTCTACTCTCTTTATTATTCTGTTTCCATTTATCTAGATATACTTTGTGTATATTATATTGTATATATATTCTATCCAAGAACTAGAGAGGACTTACTACTGCTGAAATAGCATTTGCACATCCTGCATTGAAGATGTTTGTTTGCAGTTGAAATAACCTAGACTTACACATAACATAGTGATGGTGTCAGATCACATAATTTAGTATTGCTTTTATTACAGTAATGAATTCTTCTCCTTCACTATGAATGAAAAAGACAAATTAGAACAAAACATGGGATTTCTTTATTTAGCTGATAAACTTTAGGTCAAATTAAGGTTTATTCTATTGAAAAAATATATTTTCTGGACTTTGTGTGTGAACAGATCGTGGTTAGTAAGTGTTTTGTGACATGAAAATGAACCAATACTTAAGAACTTCTGTTCCAACAAGCAACCAAATGATTTGAAATATTTTTCTGTTGTTTACTGTCTTATATAGTAGTACATAAATAAATTGATATTATTTACCTAATGAAATGAAGCCAAACTTAGGCATTAGAAGTAGCTACAACTGCTCTTGCAGATTAGTCAATAAGTGAAAATCATGTTCAAATAGAAAAGTAAATGAATTGATTCATTTAGTGTCTGAAGCAACTTCCAGGCGGACATTAGAATTTTTTTGATGAAAATGCTATTCACTAAAGCCACCTGTGTAAGGAATACAAGCTAATTAAATATGTATTCCATGAAAGATAAACCAAAACATGTGAATAGAGTCTATTACAGTAAACTTTATGGTAATATTTAATATATTTACCTAATGATGTTGAGTTATCAGAAAGTGGAATACTATAATTCTGGTCAACATAGTACATCTCTATTTCTGTGTTTTTAAAATATGCTTCTATTTTGTATATGAAAATTGCTTCAGGAATGTAATTTCCTTACATGAAAAAAAAAGAAAATGCAAGAAAATATTTTAAAATAAGACTTTAAGTGGAATTACCTTAAAAAGTACTGCTAGAATTGAATAACTCATAGAATATACTAAATAATACAAAAAGTACTTCAAAAAAGAATCCGATAAAATGGGTTTAAATGGTATATATTGTATTCTCTGATACATAACTGAATATCAAGTGGGAAGTAACACTACCTTTTTATATGGCATTAAGGAAAGTACTGCTGAACAATTGTGTCCGGTTCTGGTGATCACACTTTGAAAATATGTTTAAAATTGGCAAATGTTCATTAAAGGTGAAAGAATGACTGTAGGTCTGGAAATAAGCATTGCAGTTAGAGGCTAAAGATTGGTCTGTTTAATCTGCTGAAGAGAAGGTTAAGAAGTAACTTGATCATGGTTTGTAAGTGCCTTAATGGGAATGAGACTTTTGACAGTAGATGACTCTCTAATCTAGCGGAAAAAGACATAATGAGATCCAATGTTTCATAGTTGAAGTTAGGCAAATTCAGACCAAAATAAGGTGCATATTTTTAAGAGTGGGAGTAATTGACCACTGTTACAACTTATCTAGGAGTGGGTTGGATTCATCCATCACATGCAGCCATTATGAGGAAGACAGATACAGCATAACCCAAGAGTGTTACTCTTTTGATTTAGAGGCTACTCCATGAAATAGATAGCCTTCATCATACAGGAGCTCAAATTAGATTTTAGTTGTCCCCTCCTACTTCAAAAATCTAAGAGAGTGAGTTTCAGGAGTGAGGGTTGCACAAAGATGATTGAGAGGCTAAATTTATCATCTGTGTGTATGTTTTTCCTTGGCTACTTTGTCTTGTTTTAATGAGAGTGGATTGAGTAAAACAGTGGCAGTATGTTACAACAAGAATTAAAGGCACCAGATGGTTTCCTAATGTTAAATGAAATTATCATATCTTGGTAATAGTTATTAGTTCCAATCACAGTGAGCCTCGGTAGCTGCCCTTGAGGTTGACAGTAATTTCTGCATAAATTAGCTATATAGCAGTCCATTGAATTATTTCCTTAAAAAAACTTTGGAACATGACCAAAGCTGCGTGGTACTAAAACAAAGAAGAACCTATTGTGAAGGAGAACCCAAATGGGTAACTGCTCACTAAAATGCTAGATTAAAACCTCCTGAAGGTAAAAGCTTGGAGAGCACATGGGATATCTGTTGAAAATATTGTTACCCTTGTGAGTCAAACATCCCTGTGAAATAGCTCTGATGAAAAAGGAGAATGCTGTCTTCAGGGGTTTATTAGGTCCTTCATCTCTTGCCTCCTCATGATCTAAGACACATAGATTACAACTCTTTTTAGAAGCAGAAAGCAAAGGAATATTTCAGTGCTTTCTCCTCTTAAGATCTACTTATCTGGTCTGAGTGTGGAAAGGAAATAGTTTTACAGGTTCATTACATGTCTGGTGGGTCTGGTGGGCTACTTCATTGGGAACAACAAAAAAAAACCTTAGTATTGTCCAATAATTAGAAAGAAAGATATGTAAAAGTAAATTCTAAGCCATATGTGCTGTTAGGCTAGTAGTTTCAACTCCTGATACATGCTTTTTTTTTTCTTAAATTATGGATTTTTTCTTAGTTATGAAATTCACTTCCTTTCTCTTGGCTGCTTTTGTCACTATTGACCACCCTCAAATTTCAGCAGCCTCTCTTGCTTCCTGTTTGGAATAAAATAAAAAGCATTTATTATTTTCATGAGAGGTAATGATCTCACACTAGCTGTTCTCAGATGAAAAAACCTCATATTTTTCATTGCCTCTGATTTCAGTGGTCTATATTTCTCAAAATCCCATTGTTTGTTTTGTTGCTAAATGACATCTCTGAAACTGGGAAAACAATGTTAATTCTACCCTGCTTTTATTTGTACAACAGTTTTCCATCATCACAGGTAAAAAATTTTCTTCAGTGCATGTGCTTGTATGTGGTCTACAACGTTAAGGTTTTTTTTTGGTGAAGTTGTCATGTACCTTTGTTTTCCCCATAATTTTTATTATCTGTAACTTTCAATGTTAGAATTATTTTCTTTCTATGTTTTTGTACTGTATCAGGCAGGATGGAACTTTTCTCAGTTATGGTTACATTTGCATACCAAATAGTAAAAAACAAAGTAATTTTTCATTCTCTAATAGCAGTAGATTATTGTCTTTGCTTCTATATCACAAATTAAAGGTCTTCTCAGCTCTCTGTGAGATGTGTATTTTATATCCTTGTTTTGCTGATAAGGAAGCTGAAGCACTGAAAGGGAAAGCATCTTTTTCAAAATCACTTGGTTAAAGGCAGATAGGGAACTAAGTCTGGTGAAAGGCAGACAGGGCACCAGTTCAGGAAAGCTGACTCCCACACCTTAGAACTATCTAATAGACTGACTATTCCATTTATCATTTACATTTGCTGGTTTCTTTCCTTTTCTTTTTCAGGACCCATTTTTGTTCTTCAGCTGTTCTTCAGCTGTACTTTTCTACAATTTATTTAATTTCTTCCTGCACTGC